TACAACCACACCACCACCACCACCACACCACCACCACCACCCAATAATAATCCCCGTAGGGTGCACAATAAACTAGCCACTCTGATAACATTGAAAATTCAGTTCACCACCACTATCCAATAACAACGGCAGCAACCACCACCACAACCAGGACTACCACACCACCATCATTACCACCCGAAAGCAATAACTACCGCCACTACCACCCAACAACAACCACCATTCCTAGACTCCACCACTACTACTACCCAAACACAACCACCACCACCACCTGTACTACCACCATTACCACCCATGAGTCAGTATCTGCCAGCATCAAGATGTGGTCACCAGAACACGTGGAGAGTGTGAGGCGTAATATTAATGTGGTAACACTGACACAACCCTCCAAGGTGTCTCTGCCAATGGTGCAACACTGACAGAGAGTATCAGAAACCTCTTTGAGCCTCCTTCCCTCCCCCTCCTCTCCCTCCCCTCCCCACGTTGCCGACTGGTTGAGCCACTGATGTAAATATAGTGTGTGTGTGTGTGTGTGTGTGTGTGAGGGGTAGAGGTGCTGTTGATTTTGTGTCGTGGTTTATACATACACACGCGTACCCCCGTCCACACACACAGACATACACACACACACACTGAAACAATCACGATAGAGAGAGAGAGAAGTTACTCCGATAAGTAAATAACTATACGAAAGAAAGCTAATTTCTCAATAACATTTTGTGTCGGTAACCCTTGTAGCTTCGTGTAGGGAGTATCTCGATTTAACCTAACCTAACCTAACCTAACCAAATTTAATCTAATATAATCTAAGCTAACAACCCCAGGTAGCCTTGAGGGGTTTTATTATAAGTTGAAACAAGCTATTTTTCACATGATCCAATTATAGGTGTTGTGTCGCTTATATTGTTGTGAAGCCATCAGCTGATTTAGTGACGTCATAGGGCCAGCTAGCTCTTAACTTGTGACGTCAGGAGTGGTAGTTGATTGGCTGGTTATTTTTTATTATCAGTGTTCAACTTCTGACGTCAAGTAGAGACAGCTGATTGGCTACTAGTTTCACTCGCAGCCCTCATCCACTGACGTCACTAAATTGAAAAATGAATTCGCAGTAATAACATCCAGATTAAATCCTGTTAGCCCCCCCCCCTCCTAAAAAATAATGATAATGGCCAGAATATATTCCCTGCGCCATAAATTTTCCCATTATCCGCCATTATCATGTCTCATTTACTGTGCCATTACCATGATCCTGAGTCACCCTGGTTTAGGCTCTTATCCCCTCCCGCCCGCCATCCTTTGTTTATAACTTGGGTGATGGTTCTTATTTCTCTTATATTTGTTTTGGTCGGAAATGAACCTACTTTTTGTCTATATTTTTAGCTTTAATTAATTTTTTTATCTATTATTTATTATTATTATTATTATTATTATTATTATTATTATTATTATTATTATTATTATTATTATTATTATTATTGTAGTAGTAGTAGTGGAAGTATTTTTAATTTCTAGCTAGTGTATTGTAATTGCATCTTGGTGTAAGGATTATAATCTACTTTTGTTTTTAGTGAAGGTATTTTATATTAATGTCTCCTGGTAAACAATATCCGATTCTTTATATACAGTGAGAAGCGGGTTTAATCCTCTCACCTCATGGAGTATTTAATGCTTTAAATAATAGAATCTTTCGACCCTCTGGAAGTATACTGAATTTAATTACACACACACACACACACACACACACACACCTACTCTCTCTCTCTCTCTCTCTCTCTCTCTCATAGTTATGAACACAATGTACAAGATGAGATTTACCCCCATTATGGATCGCGGTTCAGGTAGATACTTGAAATAATTTTAATAACTTCACTCTTAAACCTAGTTAGTGAGATGTTTTTTTTTTAAATTCACCCTTAATTAAACCAGTTTAGTGACGTTCTGGTTTATTCACTTGAGTTTAGGAAGTTGTACAGAACAATATGTTTTTTTTTTATTGGGACAGGTAGAAGAGACGGATGTTGATGAACGTGAAAGGGATTTATTGACCTCCAAAAGGGGGGGTTAACACAAATTTTGACAGAATTTTTTGGTCACCATTGTTTGTGCTGTTCTAGGTCACGGGGTCAGAGATCAGCAGGATGAATTCAGTTTAGGAAAAATGTCAGAGATGTCTTCTAAGATCTATTTTGTTATTTTTAGCTGAACCAGTAGATTTATACCCTATTTGGTCAGTCAGTCATTCACTTACTGACTCACTCACGAAGAAATAGCACTTTTAATGTACACGAGGACAAAAGCATTTATGTGGTCGTGATACTTTGTTGAATCTCAGGATTGCTTTTCTCACACTGGCAGCTTGAGACGAGAAATGTGACACTTATCCTTAACATACATTTTCACATTAATGGAGAACAACATAGATGAAGTATTATTGTTTTACCTCTACAATTTACTCCACTGTTGTAATTCAGCGTCCAAGACTCCAGGTGATGGCACTCAGAGGACCATACTCCAGCATACATGGGACTTAATTTTGGCCCACTAACACCCTTGTTGAGAGAACCATGGAACTCTCTCTTGTCTAACCTAACCTAACTAACCTAACCTAACCTAACCTAACTCCTCAGGTAACGTTAGGGTGTTTAATAATCAGGTGAAATAAATGGAGGCGCCTAATCTTCATATGATCCGAAAACAAATCTATGTGTAGGGATGGAGAGGGAGGGGAGGGAGGGCAGGGAGGGAGGGAGAGAGGGGGAGGGAGGGGGGCTACTCACTCGACCCCGGCTCTCTCATTACCAAGATTGTCGTCGGTGTAATAACAGGAGCTACAAATTCGCTTTAACTTATTGCACTTTGAAGAGATGATCGGGTGAGTTATTGTAGGAACTGAGAAGGGTGGTGGGGAGGATAAGGCTTGTTGCACCCTCTTCCTCTTACGCTTCTTCCTCTTCCTTCTCCCTTCCTCATCCATTTGGTTTCTATTTCCTTGTCCTACTTTCCTCCTCCTCGTCCTCCACCTCCTCTTCTTCTTCATTTATTATTATTATTATTTATTATTTTTATTATTATTATTATTATTATTATTATTATTATTATTATTATTATTATTATTATTATTATTATTATTATTATTATTATTCAGTGAGTTTGAGTACATTATTAGTGATGGTATTAAAAAGTAATACTAGTAAAAGAAGTGTGATTATAAGTAGTGTTAATACAAGCAGGTGCAGTAATACAATTAGAGGGTTTCATTACCTTTAATTACTACAGCAAGTGTCGTACATGTACACCTGTAGCAACGACAATAACAACAACGACAACAACCACTACAAAAATGATTATCACCACCACCACCATAACAATAACAACCACCACCACAGCACAATAACAACCACCAAACAACTACCACTATCACTACAACAACAACCACCACTACACAAAAACAACAACCACCCATACAAAAACAACAACAACGACCACCACTACAAAAAAAACAAGAACATCCACCAACACTACAACAACAACCACCACAACTACAACAACAACAATCAATATTACAGCAATTATCATTACCACTGGCAAGAACAACAAATCAAAAGCAATTACAGGTAGGAAAAAAGAATATCTCTGTGTAGGTGTACCGGACGCATACCTTTCGCAGCGTAATTTGTTATGGATCTTTTCTTAAATATTTTCATCGCTGAGTTAGGATATGATATTCATTTCTAGCGGCACTACTTCATCTTTCGCTGAAGTAAAACGGTGTGGCGGTCCGATCCACACTCGAAGTTGTCCTACACCCTTGTTTGTTTACACCTAGCAGCTCTCTTACGTCCACAAAAAAAAGACGTAAAATTACACCATATTAAAGTAAGTTCTTTCTGTTTAATATGCCAGGGGTCTACGGCCGCTTGTGTTTCTTATCAACTAAGGTTAGGTTAGGTCTAATTTAGATATAACCCGATTTTGCTATGATATATCAGCGACAGGTTGGTTAGTTAATCCAATAATTACCTGATCTCCATTTTCCTGTACCTGGTAATGATCCCCGTGTACCTGTACCTGGTAATGATCCCCGTGTACCTGTACCTGGTAATGATCCCCGTGTACCTGTACCTGGTAATGATGGTACACGTGCTGCCTTAAGACTGGGTAAAGTATGATTCATGGCGCCTCATACCCAGGCACATATAAGGGGTAATAATTCGAGGATTTTCTTCATAATTCTGTCAAGATTTATGGTCGTTTTATGATAACATTCCATGAAATAATGATATGGTTATTTTTCTTGGATTAGTGTTGTGTGTGTGTGTGTGTGTGTGTGTGTGTGTGTGTGTGTAGAAGCAGTATGTGTGTGTATGTATCTGTTTGTGTGTGTGTGTGTGTGTAGAGGGATTCAGTGTGTGTGTGTGTGTGTGTGTAAGGGATATAGTGGTGTGCATTGATAAATATATTATACAGGGTGCGGCACAAGTCTTATAGTAGATTCATGTTCATAGTATTATATATAAGACAATAGTGTTCAACAATACAGGAACGTTGCTTAAATATCCACTTGTTCTTGGTATAAACTTAAGGGTGTACAATCGGGGTCAAAAGTTCATTCCCGGCCAAAATGAAGCAGCGTCGACCCCAAATGAGATGAAACAGTCAGGGTAAGTCAGTTTGGAGTCTCATTCCCGTGACTCAGTTTCACCACGGGAGCGAACTTTTGTCCCCGACTGTACAATATACTATGTGTGAAGTTAAACAAATATCAACAATAGTTTCTTAAGTAATAATAATAATAATAATAATAATAATAATAATAATAATAATAAAGTTACTATACTATTCTGCAGTACTTTTGACACAATCCCTACCCTACATACATACATACATACATACATACATACATACATACATACATACATACATACATACATACAATATGTCAATAAAACAGAGGAACAATAGAAAAAGACATCTGGTAACTCAAGCGGCATTGTTTACAGAAATCAGCTGATCACGAACCCACGAGCTGACGGGCGGACGACTCCAGCTGACCCAGACACGGAGGGTGCAGGGAGGTGAGTGTTCCCAGCTTTTTATTTATATATTTATTTTATTTACCTCCTTTGTTTTGTTTGTGATCTACCCACTTCAGATCCTTCCACGAAATCCAGCCCAGGTAAAGGATATATTTTTCTCCATTTACATACATTAAACACGGGTAAAGGAGGAACTTAACTGACTGCCTGAGGAGTATAATTATTCTCCTGAGGGGGGGAAGGAGGAGGAGGAGGATAGATGGCTGCCGTGTATCACATCCACACTGTAATTAACGTCGGATCTTTTGTCATGGTGGGGGTTAATTAACAAACATTACCGATATAATACAAACATGGCCGCCGACACTAATCACTTATACACTCTTAGGTCACAGAGAGAGAGAGAGAGAGAGAGAGGTGTATCAGTAGTAAGCCATATGATCATTAATGTCAAGGTTAGATTAGGTTAGGTTAGGTTAGGTTAGGTTAGGTTAGGTTAGGTTAGGTTAGGTAAGGTTAGGTTAGGTTAGGTTAGGTTAGGTTAGGTTAGGATGTTAGGTTTAGGTTGGTTGTCTAGGTGATTACTGTGTCCAGGTTAGGTTTGGTTAAGTGAAAATGTCCCTTAAACTATTGAAGGTCTTAGTCAAATGTCCCTTTAAAGTAGTTTAGGTCAACAAACGTTCCTCAATGTTAAGGGTCGTTAGATGGTCCTCGAGGCGCTACGACAGTTAACGTATTTTTTATCCCCATAAAAATGTTTTGCCAAATTAAACGTTGATCTAAGATGATGACCTCATTAGGAGAGAGAGAGAGAGAGAGAGAGAGAGATTCTTCTATATGATTTTTTCTCTCCATTCTTCTCCACTTTTGCTCTTTAATTTTCTTTCTCTTCCTGTTCCTCCTCATATTTATCTCTTCTCGTTCATCTAATCTTCCTTAGTCTCTTCTTCTGTCTTCTCCTCCTTCTCCTACTTCCTCATTTCCTCCTCTCATGTTTCTCTTCGTTCTCCTCCTCTTCCTCCATCCTCCACGCCTCCCTCTCTTCCATCTTCGACCTCCTCCATCCTCCTCTTCCTTCATCTTCCACGTCTTCCACTCCTCCATCTTTACCCATCCATCCTCCACGTCTCCCTCTCCTCCATCCTTCTCCTCCTCTTCCTCCATCCTCGTCTCCCTCTCCTCCATCTTCGTCCTCCTCCATCCTTCTCTCCTCTTCCTCCATCCTCCACGTCTCCCTCTCCTCATCTTCGTCCTCCTCCTCCTCCTCCTCCTCCTCCCCTCCTCCGTCTTGCCCCATCTGCCGGTGGTGGAATTAATGAAGATGGATTACCTGGGATCTTGTTCCTCGCCAGAGTCTCTCTCTCTCTCTCTCTCTCTCTCTCTCTCTCTCTCTCTCTCTCTCTCTCTCTCTCTCTCTCTCTCTCTCTGTGTGTGTGTGGGGGAGAGGGGTGTTTTCTGTGTGTGTGTGTGTGTGTGTGTGTGTGTGTTTGTCAGCCTCACATCAACAGTAGCTGTGTAATATGTACTAACACTCGTGAAGATGAAGCCCAGAAACACACGCCACCCCTTTAATTTTTTCCTCTATGGTTAATTAAATCCATTACAAGAATAACATGATGTAGTATAGACAGTGAGCAACAGAGCTGACATTAATGTATTAGTAGAGTGGGTGTGTGGGTGTTGGTGTTGGTGTGGGTGTGGGTGTGTGGTGTGGGTGTGTGTGTGGGTGTTGGTGTGGGTGTGTGTGTGTGTTGGTGTTGGTGTGGGTGTGTGTGGGTGTGTGGGTGTTGGTGTGGGTGTGTGTGTGTGTGTGTGTGTGTTGGTGTTGGTGTGTGTGTGTGTGTTGGTGTTGGTGTGGGTGTGTGTGGGTGTTGGTGTGGGTGTGTGTGTGTTGGTGTAGGTGTGGGTGTGTGTGTGGTGTAGTGTGGGTGTGTGTGTTGGTGTTGGTGTGGGTGTGTGTGTGTGTTGGTGTTGGTGTGTGTGTGTGTGTGTTGGTGTTGGTGTGGGTGTGTGTGGGTGTTGGTGTGGGTGTGTGTGTTGGTGTAGGTGTGGGTGAGGGTGTGGGTGTTGGTGTGGGTGTTGGTGTGGGTGTGTGGGTGTGTTGGTGTAGGTGTTGGTGAGGGTGTGGGTGTTGGTGTTGATGTGGGTAAGGGTGTGGGTGTTGGTGTGTGTGTTGGTGTGGGTGTGTGTGGTGTGGGTGTGGGTGTGTGTGTGTGTTGGTGGTGGTGTGTGTGTGTGTTGGTGTGGGTGTTGGTGAGAGTGTGAATGTTGGTTTTCCTCTCTCTATTTTGATGTTACGAGCATAATGTATTACTGACGCACACGGCGGCCATCACGCTGTTCCAGAGGCTCGTTCTTCCAGCGATGAAGGCCCCTCCCCCCTCCACTTCCCCGGTGTGTGCTGGTACTGGTTTGAGGAGGAACCTATACCATGTGTTAGTTACGAACCCCGTCCCGACCCTCGTGCTGCGCTGTGACCGTCGCTGCGGGAGTTTCAATCAGGACAGCTGCTGCATGTGCTGGACTTGAGCCTTGTACAGTACAGTTAAGTCGGCCACCTTCCCGCTGTGTACTTTAAAGTGTTCAGATGGCGCACCAGTCCTTCTTTAATGTGGTGTTTGGTTCTACTTCAGGAGGTGCGCTAGCAGTTGACAAGAGGGTATTTCAGTTGTGTTGGGACTTGAGCTTTTGGTTCGAGGGTCAGCAGTCCACTTGCGGTTGATCCATCAGAGCGCCGTCACGTTTAAGGAGGTTTTAAGTGCCTCTTCTCAGATGTGACGATCAGGTCTTGGTGGGTCGAGTTCGATCTGAAGGATGCTCGTGGCGGCTATTTGTTTGTCGGGTGTCACTAATTCACCTTTGACACGAATCTGATGACCAGTTCTCTCTCTCTCTCTCTCTCTCTCTCTCTCTCTCTCTCTCTCTCTCTCTCTCTCTCTCTCTCTCTCTCTCTCTTATCCTCAATGTTTCGTTCTCTCCTTTTCTGTTGTTCCTTTCCTCCCTCTCAGTTTTGGAGGAAATAAAAGAGAGAGAGAGAGAAGAAGGGGTATGGGGAGCTCGAGAAAGGATGTGGAAAAATTCTCACCTGGATTTAGGCACTCCATCCTTGGCTCAGGTACACACACACACACACACACACACACACACACACACACACACACACACACACACACTTCATCCCTCATATCCAGTTTCCTTCCTCCCCTTCTTACCCATTTTATCACCTTACCATCAGTCTCCCCTCCATTCTCTCTCCCCCTCCCCTCTCCTCTCCCTCTCCTCCACCCACTCTAAATCATCTCTCCATCACTCACTTCGACTCCTCCTCCTCCTTCTCCTCCCCTCACCTCATCATATTAAGCTCCCTGTCGCTCTCCCCACCCACCCCTGCCTCCCCTCGTCTCCTCCTTTTCTCTTCCTCCTCCTTCCCCTCTCCCTTTTCTTCCACTACCTCCTCCTCCTCTCCCCTCATCTTCCCCCCCTTCTCTTCCTCCCCCCTCCCCTCATCTTCCCCTTCTCTTCCCTCCTCCTCCTCCCCTCTTCCCCCTTCTCTTCCTCCCTCCTTCCCCTCCCTCCCTCTCCTCTCCCTCCTCTCCCCCTCCTTCCCTCTCCCCCACCATACACGTCACAAGACAGATTAAGATGGATCACCTTAGAAGAGGGAAAAAACCCCTCCTCCTCTGCGTGACATTAATTTCCCAGCCTGGCGCGGGGAATAAATTGGGAAAATACCCAATAACCTCATTTTTCTCTCCTTCCTCCCTCCTTCCCCTCCCCTCCCCGCTGACATACTTCCGGGGATGATGAGTTCAGTGGGGATTAGGTTGATTGGGGGTAAGTTAGTGGGGATTAGGTTGGAGTTGGGGTAAGTTAGGGGATAGGTTGGAGGTAGGGGGTAAGTTAGGGGGATGGAGATTGGAGTTAGGTTGTCTGGATGAGGGATGTGGAGTAAGGTGGTGATGGAGTAAGGAGGAAGGTAGAGAGTGGGGGAGGGAGTTAGGGGGGTGGTGGTGGTGGAGGAGGAGGGAGGGGGTAGAAGGAGGGAGGAGGGGTGGAGTTGAGTGCTCAGGTGTGCCTAAACGGAACTTTAAAATGGTACCTGTGAGACAAGAGTGACGTAAACCTTCCCCTTCCTTCCTTCTTTTGTTATTTATTTCTTTGTATCCTTCCCTTTCTTTCTTTCTTTCTTCCTTCCTTCCTTCATCGGTCTCTGGATCTTCTTCCTCTTTTATTACCATTGTCTCTTCCTCTTCAACCTTCTCCCTCCCATTCACCTCACTCGGTACCTTTATCTCTTCCCCTTTCTTAACTCTCTCTGTCTCTCTTCCATCTCCTCCCTCTTCCATGCTCATTCTCCCTCCCTCCCTCCTTCTCCATAACCTTTTCAACCTCTTATTTTATCTTTCTAAATCTTTTCTCTTCATCTCTTATTTTTCTTCCTTCTGTTCCTCTCTCTCTCTCTCTCTCTCTCTCTCTCTCTCTCTCTCTCTCCTCTCCCCCCCCCTCTCTCTCTCTCTCTCATTTGACGCAACACGGTGGGGGGTGAAGGAAGACCTTTCGCATCAAGACAATTCTATAATTGCAACGATACATCATGCTTATGTAGAGTAGAGTGGGGAGAGGTGTAGAGGAGTGGGAAGAGCCGAAGAGTGGGAAGGGGCCGAAGAGGTGGGTTGAGAGGGGAAGAGAGAGGGAGTGGGTGGGGATAAGGGGAGAGAGTTAAGAGGAGGAGATGGGAGGGAGAGAGAGAGAGAATAAGGGGTAAGAGATGGAAGGAATGAAGGAGAGTTGAGGAAGGGAGATGAGAGGGAATGGAGGGGGTTAAAAATGGGAAGGGCATGAATCAGAGAAGAAAGAGGAGGGAAAAATATAGGAAAATGGAAGGGGGTGATTACAGTCGACGGAGGGAGCGGAAATAGAAGTTAAGGAGGAGATGGAAGAGAGAGGAGTTGAAGAAGGAGAGGAAGAGAAGGAAGGAGAGAGTTGAAGAAGGTGGAAGAGGAGGAGGAGGGAAGAGGAAGAGGGAGTCTACATGAGTC